TAAAGAAACTTACTGGAACAAGCTGGCGTGCAGATGCCAACACTGTACAAATATACACAGGATACGTACGACCAAAACTGGAGTATTGCATGGGAGCATACTCCACTGCAGCCAAATCAAACCTACACAAACTGGACAAAATACAGAACACTGGTCTCAGAATCATCACTGGAGGTATGAGAAGCACACCAGTCCATAGGCTGGATGCAACTTCTGGCCTTCAGAGCTTGAGTCTTCGAAGGGAAGAAAAGGTGCTTACCCTAACAGAAAAATTTAAACACATGAACAATAACACCATGCACAGAATAGCAAATAACTTAACTAAAAACCTACTGAAAAGGCAAAGCTTTCACCATCTTTCATAACTGTACTACACAAAAAACAGTGACATCCTTTCAAAAGATCCTTTAACATGGAAAATGATCCAGGCATACAGCATAGAACTATGGCCTAACTGTGCAGTCACAATAACAATTCCAGGCATTGACAGAAAGGTTAAAGAATGTGACTTAGTACTGCATGCAAAGACCCTTGAACATGTCTACAACTGTTATCCAAAACACAAATGGACACACATATACACCGATGGATCATTGGAGAGAGCAGTAAAAACAGAGGAGCTGGATCGGTCATCATGCTACAAGATGGGACCACAGTAGAAACGTCATGCGCCTCCAGAAGACTCAACAAACTTCAGAGCAGAGCAGCAAGCAATTATTGATTCAGCCAAAGTGCCTGAGGAAAGAAACATTAAAAAATTGTTTTCCTTTGTGACTGCATATCAGTCCTCCAGGTGACTCAGAGGGATTCATGAGACAACATGAAAACAGACTCACAGAAAACAATGAAATTATTCTCCAGTGGATCCGATCTCACTGCGGCATACCAGGAAATGAGTTAGCAGACTTGCAAAAAATGGAACAAGGGGGAAAAAACATGCCCATTCATTTTCATCACCAGAAATCAGAACACATATTAAAGAAAAATGCAAGGAGTTGGGGAGAGAATAAACTAACAGTAAACATCCACAAGACCCCATTAGCAGACTCAACAGAAAGCAACATACACAAATTTTCCGTCCAGGAACAGGACACTGCAGGCTCAATTTCCTCATGCATAAAATAGAGATTGTACAGTCCCCACAATGTGCTTGTCAAACAGGACCACAAACACCAGTGTTGCCACTTTTCTTTGACAAAAAACATTCAGAAACGGGTAAACAAAATATCTACAAATATCTAGACTTGCGTGGTAAACATCTAGACAAAAACATCCAAATGGAAACAGACTCATATTACATAGCTGTTGATATATGACTTACCCTGTAGAATCCTGTCCTCATCTTCACTGATGTGACTCACAAGATCCACAGGATAAACTTAGCTTGCATGACCAAGTTGAAGCTTCAGGTCCAAAATGACTCTGGTATGTTTTAGCTATTCCAATTTCTTTTAATACACAATCAGGGAGCTGATGAGTTGAACAGCATTTTCCCTACTCTCATCAGGTCATATTTTATTGCCAAGATAGCATTTAAGAGGTCAAGTTTCATCCTATTTCTTAGGTTAAATATGATATAATTCATAGCTATATCAGCATGTGAATGGTATAGTATCATGGCAGACATGACACATTCAAAGAGTGTTTGCTGAGGCATCTTTAAATTGTCTCACTTCACTCCAAAACGATTCAGTTTCTATTTTGTTTGTCCATTCAACCAAGTTTTTGTTTTTTGGTTAACTGATATTCTGTTTCCGCCACGCTGTTATCAGTAGCCCCTAAAAATTTCATAACTTCACAATATTTAGGTATGTCCTTTACTGGCTGAAGAATGTTACTAACAGAAAAGAGTGACATTGTTTTGAAAATATCTAGATTTTAAGGATGTCTCTGCTTCAATTGTTTGAATAATGAGATAAGGAAGTCGTGACAGCGTTTTCTTAAGTTGTTCTCTTTATTTTCTGTTAACAATCCTCTTGTTTTTAAATCTTCAATTTTTTATTCAATTTGATATCCAAGGTGTTGCTTAGCAGCCAAGTAACTAGCTCTCTGTAGTGCAGGTGAGCAAGTCAGCTTTAGAAGTTGCAATTAATTTGGCCTCATATTGGATACCTCTGTTTGTGCTTCGAGGAATGATCTGTATGCTGGGTGGGTTTGGTCACTGATAGCTCTGATGGAGAAATTTAGACCTAATTACTTTCTTCTAAAAAGCAAATCATAATTCCCATTGCCACCTCTACAGCCTCCTTTGATTTAGTTCTGGATGTACCTGCTGTGATGCATAATGCTTGGTGGAGAATTGTATCCAGTTTGTATTTATTAGTTTTTGCTGAAGAATCATAGAGAATGCTACCATAGTCCACCCTTCCTCTAACATATGATTTGTAGAATGTAAGCATTAGCTTAGAGCTAGTACCCCATCCATTTCACTTTAGAAATCTAAGCATATTTCTAGGTCCTCAACAAGACTCAGCCAGATGATCTATATGTTTCTTCCAGTTTAGTTGTTGGTGCAGTGTCATGCCCAACAATTTAGTCATGTTTACCGTTAGAAAGTTGTGTCCTTTCAGTTTGATATCTGCAAGGTTATCATTTATTTTTCTACCTTTTTAAAAAATCATTCCAAATGTTTTTGTTACATTCAGGTTGAAACCCCACTTTGTCATCTAGTTTCAAATTTAGTTAACTTGATTCTGTAACTCACTAAAGGTGCTGTACACATCTTCCATACTTCTCCAAATAGCATTATCAGCATATTGTGATAAGTTATTCTTTAAATCTGAGAACTCCTCACTGAGGTCATTGATCATTATTGCAAAGATAATTGGGGACAGAACCGAACCTTGGGTGATGCCATTTTTGTTGTTCATAAAGTTGTGAGTGTTTGTTACTGCAAGGAATCTCTCTTAAAAAAGTTTTTTATGTATTTGTATATTTTTTCTAGATATTTCAATTTTCTGAATTTTTATAAAGCATCCCTTCCTCCAAAACACATCATAAGCCTATTATACATCCATGATCTTTCAGGTAACCTGACTTGACATCATGTTCTAATTTGATAATCTGATCCATTGTGCTACAGTTTTAAGAAAGGCAGACTAGTCTATGCTATATAAGTTTTTCTTTTCTAGGAACAACTTTAGCCTCCTATTTATTATAGTTTCTAGAATTTTACCTAGATTAGATGTTAAGGATATAGGTTGATATAATTCTGCATTATTTTCTTCTTTCCTTAATTTCAGAACTGGTATCAAGGTTGCTATTTTCCAGGACTTTGGTATGTTTCCTGTAGAGGCAAATCATCTTTTGAATGTCTACAAATTATATTTTGAATAATGTAGTCGCAATTTTGATTGTTTTTAATGGGATTCTCTTCAGAATCTCATAGCACAGAATATCCTGTCCTGAGGCATTGTTTTCTTTCCCAAGGATTGCTTCTACCACTTCAGACACTGTAATCACAGAATTTAGATTTGACTTATCATCAGTATTAGTTTGTTTTAGTGACTAATAATTATTTATGATGCTAGTTGTTCTGCTCATTTCATGAATACCTACACTGCTGTTAGCACTTACATGTCTTCTGGTTGATCGATTCTCGGCACATGTATAGTACAGGCAGGGGGGGATTCTGTAAGTGGATACATAGAAAACTATATATGGAGATAGAAGCTAAATACCAAAGTGGGTAGATGTAGAAGTAATTTAAACAACAATATCCTGTTCAGCCCATCCTATTTGTAATTGGAATATACAAAGTATTTTTTTCTCTTTCAATAATGAATATTTATGTCTACAAATTATTTGGTTATACAATATCGCCTAGTTTCTGTATTAATTGAATAAGATTATAGAAGTATAGATTGTTACATTCAATGTATTTTCAATGTACTTTTAAACAATTATAGTAATTATGCTGTTAAGTCTACCTTTGTTGATATATACAGTGATGTGGTATACATCATTATTCTGTCTTAAGATAAATTAACATTTCATATGTGAATACCTGTTCTTGTTATATATATTATTGTTTAATCCTTCCCCATAGTTCTCTAGAACCATCTACTCCTAGCATGTTTTCAATTGTCATGTGCTTATTGCAACAGATCATATCTTCTATAAGTGGAGTCCTTGGAGTTTGTGTTTCTTGCAGCAGATAAATAAGGCTTGATGTCTGAAACACTCCATCCAGACTGAAAACTGTGACATGAAAAAAAAAGGATTTTTTAGTGCAATAGTCAACCAAAAGAGACTGAGAACCAGAGGAAAGTAACAGTTTGCAAGTCTGAGACAGTTTAATGTCATTTTGATACAAGAACACCTTATGGCTTAATTGTTGTGATAATGGTGATTCTGATATACTTGGTTTGATTCCAGCTGCAGATAGTTTGGCAGCAGACCACCTTGCATTCTTCTTCTTCTTTGTTCACAGGCTGTAAGCTTCTGCGAAAAGTCCTGGTTGTTCATCCATTTGGACTTTGGCTTTGTGCCAGAGCCTGAGTTTTGCATATAACACCGTTTTACTGGCTTTTTTGTGTGCAGCTGTTTGTTCCTTGCCACCTGGGCAGATGCTCTCTGACTTCAAAGGAAGACCCCAATTAGTGGACTTCTATGACATGCTTGTAGGAGAGGCAGTGGGTCTGTTGTCTTCACAATGGGGCCGCAGGACCCACATGGAGACCACCTGGCATTGACTTTGACAATATTGTAGAGTGCCAACCATTCAGGGAACAGTTGCACACTACTGATTATAAAATTGCCTCATCAAATCACAAACAGCAAAAATATGCTATTGTTGGTTCTGCAATTTCTGATGATACACAACAGACTATTTGAGCTGATTAGTTGCTGTTTTATTTAGTCAATCCCAATGTTTTTGTTTTGAACAACATATGTCATTCCCTTTCAGGATTATACAAGCAAGATTGGCAAGCTGAGAAATGATGCTGTCTCTAGACCAACATTCTTAGTGCCATTAATGAGTGACTCACAGGAAGATGATGGAGTTTTCTCCACAGTACACTAGAAAGCTATCAGGGAGCAGCACCATTAGTAGCTTTAAGGAAGATGCCTTGGAGCAGCTTGAGTTCAACATCAATGATATCAGTCGAGCCAGCAGTCCTGCTAGTGTCATCAGTACCAGTGCTAGATCTGAGGGTAAGAGCCCCCTAGATAACTGGTCCTCAATGTTGTCTCTACCAATGCCACATCATTGGTACAAATAAACTTTCAATGTGGTCAAGTGGTCAAGCTGTTATTCATGCTCTGAAGGTCGGGGGTTCGTTTCACGGCTGTGCCGCTCAGTTCACCAGTGCATGTTTGCGGATATCCTTGGGGATCGTCGCTTGAGCTAATGAGGGCATGCTTTGTGCGATGCTCTCGGCAGGCAACTAGCTGTTCTGTGGAAATAAACCGAGCTACATGGAATACAACCCAGTGTAAGGAAGTCGATCCTCTCACCTTTACCTTTAATGATTACTGAAATAGAAAAACAAATACTCTACACATCAAAATGATAACCAGGATGGGTTGAACAAGACATTTTTGTTGAAATGACTACTATTGATAATGCATTATAGATTATTAACTAAATTTTAGGTGGGATATAATCACTGGTAAGAATGAATTGAGAAAGTTTTCAGGTAAATGAGTAGGAACGTTTTGTAATTTTTTTTTTTTTTCAGATTCAGTGGAAGATGGTTCTATAAATGAGCTGCGGAATATGCTAAACCTGTTTTATAAGTCTGTTCTAGGTTCAGTCAAATTTAATAAACTTTATTGCTTGCTTTTCATAGGATTGAATGAACCAGAAAATGTAATTGCGAGTATTTTTGTATAAGATTTTGTGAATTAATTTGGCCTTGTTAAATATAAAATGTTGACTAAATGGCAGAAAACGTAGATGTCCGTATAAGATATTTTTATCGATGTAATTTCTATCGGAGACATGGCTTAAGGCCCCATTTTGTAGAGAACACAGTCATTTGACATTCATTTTGGAGTCACCATCCACAATTGTGGAACAATAGTCAATATATATGGAGGTAGGATATGTAAAATATTGTTCTTGTATTTTAATCCAGTGCTGACTTTTTGCTAGGTTGATAAACTTTGTGTGCAACTTTTTGGGGAACACGGGAACTCTCCAAGTTAAATGCTTGTCAATTAAATACCTAATGTTTTGTGTTCAGTTACATTAACAATATGTGATTTTTCAATAACAAGCTCCAGTGATGGCTTATGTTGTCAATAACAAGCTCAAAGTGGTGGCTTATGCAAAGCTAATGTTTGTAACTTTTGCCTCGTAATTAGTATGGATTTAGTTATATTTATGATAATTTACATGCAGTTATCATCGCTTGGTTCTATAAGGATCCAAAGTTAGTTACATATCATTAACAGTTGCTCTGATAATCAATGCAAAATTATTTATGACTATTAATACTTTGTGTGATATAATATTGTCTGAAGTATTCAATACCAGGTCATGGATGGTTTAAAGACCGCAGACACCGCCACTCTGGACGAGGAGAAGAGGAATATCGAAGGAGATATTTTAGGATGAAAGCAGAACTGGAGCTTGAGAGAATGAAAGCACTGCAGCTTCAACAGGAGAGGGAGGCTGAGACGAGGAAATGGAAAGATGCCTTTGAGAATGATAAAAGACTTCAGATAGCTGCACTTCACAAGCGCATGCAAGAAGAGAAAACAAGAGAGGTAACTTGGTGTTCATTGTTTTTAGGAGAGAGAGAGAGAGAGACAAAGAGAGATATTAAAGGAGAGAGAGAGAGAGAGAGAGAGAGAGAGATGAAAATTGGTGAGAAGAGAAGGTTGAGAAGTTAAAGTTCTTTTCCTAGGTGGTAAGTTTAGTGGTGAGAAAGTTTACATCCTTGACAATCAGGGCTACAACTCATGAATCTCAGCCATCTCATTCTGGCCTGAGATTTCATACATGTTCCTATAGGATGTCCTTTGTTCTAGGGGTATCAGGTTTTGAATGCTTTAAGCACATACAACACTGACGATGGCCACTGCCAGTTAGGTAAAAGTACAGAAACATCAGTGATTGGATACTGACATACCCTTGTGCCATCGGTGCTTCCTCTTGCAACATGAACCAGTTAAGATGCAGCATATGTCATTGCATATTAGACTTTTCACCGGTTCTTTTATTTATGAGACAAACTCAAAATTGTTGCGATGAAACAAGATCATAAAAAAAAATATTCCTAAATTACTCATATCTGATTATAGGAACAAGCTGGAGCAATCAGAATGTTTCTCAACACACATGCATACACGTCTGTGGCATATTGTCACTGACCATTTCCAGCCTCCCACAGTGTGCAGTGTAGAATGAAGCATGTAACTGGCTGGTCAACAGTCATTTGTATGGCCCCCCCCCCAAAATAACCAGAACTGAAACAAATATGTTTAAGATACCTGCATTATAGTATAGGGGACATCTGTGACATGCCTCAGTCTCATGAATACCATAGACTGTGCCACTGACAACACAACATTGTTATTTGTCTTAGTGGATTAAACAACATCATGTTATTGGTCCTTCTATGTAGACTGCAGCAGTATGATATAACTGGACCTTTCATGCGGATCACAGTTGTATAATGTTATTGATACTTCTACGTAGACAACAGCAGTATAATATAACTGGTCCTTTCTTGTGGATCACAGTTGTATAATGTTATTGGTCCTTCTACGTAGACAACAGCAGTATAATATAACTGGTCCTTTCATGCAGATCACAGTTGTATAATGTTATTGGTCCTTCTACGTAGACTACTGCAGTATAATATAACTGGTCCTTTCATGCGGATCACAGTTGTATTATGTTATTGGTCCTTCTGCGTAGACTGTAGCAGTATAATATAATTGGTCCTTTCATGCGGATTACATTTGAAAATGTTATTGGTACCTTGATTTTGACTGAATCAGTATGATAGAATTGGTCCTTCCATATAGTATAGAGTCATACAATATTGTTGGTCCTTCACACAGATTGGCAAGCTAAAAGAAGATCTACTCAGACAGAAAGATTTTGAGCTGCAGCAGGTGCTGCTGTATCGAGAGTCTGAGAGAAACCAGCAGCATCAGACAGACCAACAGCAGACAGGGCAACAGAAAGTGCACAGAGTGGTGGAGACGCGAGAGAAAGGAAGAAGATCACAGGGACGCAGGCTAAAGAAAGACAGAGATGATACTGTTGACAGTGAAGAGAACAGAGTTGAAAGAGATGCAGACAATGATGTTGCAGTAGCTAGTGGAAAGCTAAGGACAAGGGCCAGCACTCTTCATGATGAGAGAAGAAAACATCGATCTGTTTTTGGCCGGTCGTCACTGGACCTTGATTCCAAAGATGGTGGGTCATTATCAGAACACAAACCTAGCAGTAGAGAACTAAAAGTGTCCAGAAGCCAGGATGGGCTTGAAGAAGAAAAAGAAAATAATGGAAGACGACGTCAGGCAAGTGGCATTTATAGGAGGTTAGCAGATAAAGTGGGAAGTGTTACTGTTTCCAGAAGTGATGATGCTGATGATTCTGTGCCCATTAGCATAGCTCCGGACAATACAGCCAGCACGATTATGCTTCCTGCTGTTGGAAATAATGTCATAATAGCAGAAAAGACTCTGGGCAGCAAGAGTCTCTCAGTCACCCAAAAAGGCACCACTGTCACAGATCCTCAGATAGACCGGACCATGGTGGAAAAGCAGACTCAGGTAACCCACCAAGACGTCATTGAAGAAGAACAGACTCAAGTCAAAGAAAGAGAGACACGGCTGACAGAACTTCAGGAAAAAATAACAGGTCTTGAATCTGAGAAATCTATGTTGCTGAAACAGAAAGATGAGACACAGACTTTACTAGAACAGAAACTTCGAGAGCAAGAGGTCCGCGAGGGAGAATTCCAGAGTCTGAAGATGGGATATGACCGGCAGCTGCGAACAGTCATCAATGAACACAGGAAGGTCAGGAATGTTTTCTCATGTTTGGTTGGTTGTTGTGAATTTAAGACATCACCACCTCTTGTCCTTTCATATTTACTCATTCTCTCAATTACAACTTTATCTTTTAATATATCTCTCTCCTTTTGCCACTTTCTCTGGGGCACAGTGATTTCAGTTAGGGCATAATTACTACAATTGCTTGAAAGTACATTTAAAATATATTCTGGTGCCAGCTTGCTCTGTTCTCATACAAGACTCCTGCAGCAGGTCCACATCATGCACCCTGAATAATTGTCTGTATTGGCTTAAACAGAGCTGGCCTGCAATCTCGGGATTGGTGGCTGCCATAGATGTGGTGTCTGTATCAGCCTAAACAGAGCTGGCCTGCAATCTCGGGATTGGTGGCTGCCATAGATGTGGTGTCTGTATCAGCCTAAACAGAGCTAACATGGAATCTCAGGATTGGTGGCTGACATAGAAGTGGTGTCTGTATCAGCCTAAACAGAGCTGACATGCAATCTCAGGATTGGTGGCTGCCATAGATGTGGTGTCTGTATCAGCCTAAACAGAGCTGACATGCAATCTCAGGATTGGTGGCTGACATAGAAGTGGTGTCTGTATCAGCCTAAACAGAGCTGACAGGCAATCTCAGGATTGGTGGCTGACATAGATGTGGTGTCTGTATCAGCCTAAACAGAGCTGACATGCAATCTCAGGATTGGTGGCTGACATAGAAGTGGTGTCTGTATCAGCCTAAAAAGAGCTGGCCTGCAATCTCAGGATTGGTGGCTGCCATAGATGTGGTGTCTGTATCAGCCTAAACAGAGCTGACATGCAATCTCAGGATTGGTGGCTGCCATAGATGTGGTGTCTGTATCAGCCTAAACAGAGCTGACATGCAATCTCAGGATTGGTGGCTGACATAGAAGTGGTGTCTGTATCAGCCTAAACAGAGCTGACATGCAATCTCAGGATTGGTGGCTGACATAGAAGTGGTGTCTGTATCAGCCTAAACAGAGCTGACATGCAATCTCAGGATTGGTGGCTGACATAGAAGTGGTGTCTGTATCAGCCTAAACAGAGCTGACATGCAATCTCAGGATTGGTGGCTGCCATAGATGTGGTGGCTGTATCAGCCTAAACAGAGCTGACATGCAATCTCAGGATTGGTGGCTGCCATAGAAGTGGTGTCTGTATCAGCCTAAACAGAGCTGACATGCAATCTCAGGATTGGTGGCTGCCATAGATGTGGTGTCTGTATCAGCCTAAACAGAGCTGACATGCAATCTCAGGATTGGTGGTTGCCATAGATGTGGTGTCTGTATCAGCCTAAACAGAGCTGACATGCAATCTCAGGATTGGTGGCTGCCATAGATGTGGTGTCTGTATCAGCCTAAACAGAGCTGACATAGAATCTCAGGATTGGTGGCTGCCATAGATGTGGTGTCTGTAACAGCCTAAACAGAGCTGACATGCAATCTCAGGATTGGTGGCTGACATAGATGTGGTGTCTGTATCAGCCTAAACAGAGCTGACATAGAATCTCAGGATTGGTGGCTGCCATAGATGTGGTGTCTGTATCAGCCTAAACAGAGCTGACATGCAATCTCAGGATTGGTGTCTAGACAGTCCCTGACACCCATCAGATGGCACTTATCAGCTTACTCCTAGTGCATGGGTGACAAACTCATTGAATGAATTAGGGTCATGACCTGAGCCACTATTAAATAAAAAAAAATGGTCCAGAAGTCTTTGGATGGAGTCTTCACAGTTTGGGCACACAAGGTCCAGGCTGGCTACAGTCATCCTAGAGACAGGATCAACATCTCCTTCGACATCAGAGTGCATTTGTCTGACAGGCAGACTACAGGCAAGCCTGGCTGACAGGCAGGGATTTAGACTACAGGCAAGCTTGGCTGACAGGCAGAGATTTAGACTACAGCCAAGCTTGGCTGACAGGCAGGGATTTAGACTACAGGCAAGCTTGGCTGACAGGCAGGGATTTAGACTACAGGCAAGCTTGGCTGACAGGCAGGAAAACATCAGACTCTGGCCAAGCTTGGCTGACTGCAGTTCTGTAAAATAAATGTACATGCAAAATTCAGGTCCTGGAGCAAGCCGAAATTCAGAAAAGGACGACCCACTAGGACCTTCTACTGGAGTTTATAGCTGGTAGACACAGACAGACAAAAACCTATTTCTACCACTCCTTCTTTTACTGATTCTTGATATTTCACTACTCATTTATTTGCTCAACATACTTTCACTTCTTGTTATCTTACTTTTGATCATGTCATTAACTTTCTTCACCTCGCCCTCCCCTTTTTTTTCCTTTTCACCCTCCCCTTTCCTGGTATCATTGTCTCATCTATAAGCCTAACACACATCAGTCTTTCACTCCTCATTTTCACACCTCTCATTTTTTCACACACTGTTTGCTCATTCTTTTAGTCATTCGGATTTTTAAACTCCCCTTTCTTGCATTTGTTTTTCTCTGTCACACCAGTCAAACATCCTCACATACACTGTTCTTGCTGGGACCCTTCTTTCTCTGTCCCACCTGTCAAACATCCTCACATACACTGTTCTTGCTAGGACCCTTTTTTCTGTCACACCTGTCAAACATCCTCACATACACTGTTCTTGCTGGGACCCTTTTTTCTCTGTCACACCTGTCAAACATCCTCACATCCACTGTTCTTGCTGGGACGCTTCTTTCTCTGTCACACCTGTCAAACATCCCCACATCCACCATTCTTGCTTGGACCCTTCTTTCTCTGTCACACCTGTCAAACATCCCCACATCCATTGTTCTTGCTGGGACCCTTCTTTCTCTGTCACACCTGTCAGACATCCCCACATCCATTGTTCTTGCTGGGACCCTTTTTCCTCTGTCACACCTGTCAGACATCCCCACTGTCACTGTTCTTGCTGGGACCCTTCTTTCTCTGTCCCACCTGTCAGACATCCCCACTGTCACTGTTCTTGCCGGGACCCTTCTTTCTCTGTCCCACCTGTCAGACATCCCCACTGTCACTGTTCTTGCTGGGACCCTTCTTTCTCTATCCCACCTGTCAGACATCCCCACTGTCACTGTTCTTGCTGGGACCCTTCTTTCTCTGTCCCACCTGTCAGACATCCCCACTGTCACTGTTCTTGCTGGGACCCTTCTTTCTCTGTCCCACCTGTCAGACATCCCCACTGTCACTGTTCTTGCTGGGACCCTTCTTTCTCTGTCCCACCTGTCAGACATCCCCACTGTCACTGTTCTTGCTGGGACCCTTCTTTCTCTGTCCAACCTGTCAGACATCCCCACTGTCACTGTTCTTGCTGATCCCTTCTTTCTCTGTCCCACCTGTCAGACATCCCCACTGTCACTGTTCTTGCTGGCACCCTTCTTTCTCTGTCCCACCTGTCAGACATCCCCACTGTCACTGTTCTTGCTGGGACCTTTCTTTCTCTGTCACACCTGTCAGACATCCCCACTGTCACTGTTCTTGCTAGGACCCTTCTTTTTTCTCTGTCCCACCTGTCAAACATCCTCACATCCACTGTTCTTGCTGGAACCTTTTTGTTTATGTCCCACCTGTCAAACATCCTCACATACACTGTTCTTGCTTGAACCCTTCTTTCTCTGTCCCACCTGTCAGACATCCTCACATCCACTGTTCTTGCTGGGACCCTTCTTTCTTTGTCCCACCTGTCAGACATCACCACTGTCACTGTTCTTGCTGGGACCCTTCTTTCTCTGTCACACCTGTCAAACATTCTCATATCCACTGTTCTTGCTGGGACCCTTCTTTCTCTGTCCCACCTGTCAAACATCCTCACATACACTGTTCTTGCTGGGACCCTTTTTTCTCTGTCACACCTGTCAGACATCCTCACATCCACTGTTCTTGCTGGGACCCTTCTTTCTCTGTCACACCTGTCAAACATCCTCACATCCACTGTTCTTGCTGGGACTCTTCTTTCTCTGTCCCATCTGTCAAACATCCTCACATACACTGTTCTTGCTGGGACCCTTTTTTCTCTGTCCCACCTGTCAGACATCCCCACTGTCACTGTTCTTGCTGGAACCCTTCTTTCTCTGTCCCACCTGTCAAACATCCTTACATCCACTATTCTTGCTGGGACCCTTCTTTCTCTGTCCCACCTGTCAAACATCCCCACAACCCTTTGTTTTTGCTGGGACCCTTCTTTCTCTGTCCCACCTGTCAGACATCCTCACATTTACTGTTCTTTGCTTGAACCCTTCTTTCTCTGTCCCACCTGTTTAACATCCTTACCTCCACTGTTCTTGCTGGGACCCTTCTTTCTCTGTCACACCTGTCACTGATCTTCCTGGAACCCCCTGTCTTGACAAACACACTCTTGTCTATTTCAGCAATATTAGTCACAACCTGCTATGTTAGAGTTACTGTCCTGAGATTCCTCTCAAGATTCTGATTGAACATAAAGGTATCAGTTGTGTAAGAGAGCACCAATACCTTCAGACAGCCATCCTAGCTTAGTGCTCAGTGTGATAACCTGTTGCATTGGTCACCTCCGGTGCCAGTCTCCATCAACAGCATCTGTAGTCTCATGTGTTCCTTGCTCTGTTCTACCAGTAGGTGTAGAACTTATGCTTGGCCAGCACTGACTGTTGTTTGCTGCAGCCAGTATCATGTCCCCAGTATGCCAGAGTAGCATGATAACAGGCCCCTTCATGGTAACCCTTGTTTGGCTTTCACAGATAGCCCTTGACAATATAGAGAAGCTCAAACATGCAGAGACAGTACTAAAGGAAGCCACACTGACTGAGGAAGAAATTAGCCTTCTGACGCAGCAACACGAGGGCAAGAGAAGACTTTCAACTTCATCCCTGCCTGCCCTCCAAGTCCAGGTCAGCACACATTTATTCTTTCTGACTGATGCTTGCTGTTCTCTGAGTGTGTGTCTCT